CCCCTGAAGTCATAGCCGCGGGAAGTCATTTTTCTCAGGGGGTGCTGCCAAAAGTGGGGAGGGGGGCCGCTTAAAAAAGAAAAGAAAAAAGGTGGTGCAGGGCCGGGCCCGGCTGTCAGCGATATGAGCCGCATAAATCGTTTTAAGGCGAGACACAGCAGGCAAAAACATCGTTTTTCAAGCACTGGTCAATTTTGAGATTTTGTGCTATTTTGATTCTATAACATGTTTTCTTTCAGGCTTTTGGAAGGAAAACGTACGAAATACACATTTAAGTGTTTATTTGACTATAGTTTGTCTATTTGCGTCAGTAGATTTCTCCTAAATTCACCAAAAGTTAGCTTTTTAACGTAACATAAAGTACCGCGACCGCTGTGTGCACCATGTCAACAGAGATATCGTTAGAAAGCTGTGTCTCTCCTGCACAATCTCATCGGATCCAAATATGGTCATTTCCTTTGTATCAGCAACCAATCGTGAAAGCACAAAGGGGTCTTAAACCAAGAAACGAAATCTCATTGGCTGGTGTCAATTTCAGACAACGTGATTCGTTCAGATGCGTCACGTGGTGTGCTAAAACACTTCCTGGTTAGCTTTCCGCTAGAAATGTAAATCTCAAAATGGCAAAAGAACGGCGGAAAAAAAAAGTTTACAGAGAAGATGACAACAGTTGTCACTTGCACGAAGCAAGATTATACAAAAAACAAATGACCCCGAACATGAAATACCTTCACGGAGTGCGTCGAGGCGCAAGCTGTCATCCAAAGAACAGGAGGGTTTAGCTAGCGCCTCGCTGCAATCTTTAAAGGTCGTTTTCTCAAAATGAGTTTTTTCTCCTACTCTGAGTTCAAAATTTCAACTTCAGTAGCACGTAGACACACCAAACCTTCCAGTTATATTCCTATCAATATTATGAAGGCTTCTACAGAAGGGTTTGTTCATATATCATTCATAGCCTGAATTATACAACATTGTATACCTAAAAACATGGCAAAAATTGATATTTTAGGGCTGTTGACAGTATTTTCTGATTTATGGAGTGATAAAAAGAGATATCCAAAATCCCTTCTGTAAAAGCCTCAGATACTAATATGACTACAAAATAAAACAACATTTTTTAACCTGGCTTTATCCAAAGTTCAGATTTCGATTCCTGAAATGTGTTAAAATATGCACATATTTGATGAGATAATGGCTAATTTGCATATTTAAACATGCTATTTCAGAAAACTTGTAATACAAAAGACAATTGCCTTATTGTAAGTAATTAACTGGAAAATATTTCTAGCTGATACCTTTAAGTTAAAAAAATTACCCTATTCACCTGGGGTGTCTCGCCTTAAAACAACAAGACTTAAGCTTGGTGAATAAATGACAAAAAAATGTCAAATAAAATGTATTTTACGGTGAAAGGCAACAGCTAAAAGAGTGTATTCGACATGTGCTGCCTTTGGCTAATGTTAAAGAGGTTGGCCATCTTAGTTCAGAATATGAAGCGTCCATGCTTTTTGTAGTGTTTATGTATCGTGACACGTCCATGTAACGTGATTGGTTGATGCATTCATTCGCTGCTTGTAGCTGACTAAAATTATCCTTGTTTTGTCAATTATGCAGTTATGTCGCCTCGTAAAATATCATGTTCTATATGAAAGTATTTGTGACAGGATACGTTCATATTTTTTTTATACAAAATACCAGAATTTCTGATTAAATTGAATTGTTTTCCTTTAATAGCTTTATTGAATAACTTTGTTATTTTGTATTAATCTATTTAGCCAACTAAATATAATCATGCTGATCTTGTGTTGTCTTTATGTGCGTCAGGTTTGTCTCACCTGGTGGGATCCTCTCTCCTGAGAGCCTACATGCACGGCTACTTCATGGACATCAGGCTTTATCACAAGGTAAGGTGCCATTCTTGCTTGCTGCCATGTTGGACAGGTCTCCCTTGAAAAAAAGATCGATGATCTCAATGGGACCTGGTTAAATAAAGGTTTGAATTAATTCATAGTTTGTGTTAACGTATCTTAAATGGTGTTGAATATGCATCGATGATACATCAGATGAAACATTCTGTTTAAGTGTCTGTTTGCTGTTTGTCTTGGCCGCAGGTGAAAACCATGGCAAATCCTTTCGCATACGACGAGTATCGCAAGGATAAGATCCGCCAGAAGATCGAGGAGTCCAGGACGCAGAGAGTGCAGGTTAAGGTGAGCGGTCCTGACATAAAGTCTCTACTTTCCACTAGTGGATATAGCTAGTGACATAAGTTGGTGTAAGGGAGAAAATCCTGCAGATCACAATCTTTCTAGTATTGTCTTTCATATACGTTTTCGTGGCAACATACATTCATGATGTGAACATTCATCAGATCCACTTTTCTTTTTAAACTGGTTTGGCCTACCTGGATAATTGATTAAGTCTTTTCCCATGTTAACACTTGGCACGTTTGGCTTTGCTTGTCATTTCACGCTATGGCAATATAAACCTAAAGCCCTGGACTTTCACTTTTTTACGATGACTACCTAACTTAGTTACATAACTTAAAGGGGCCCTATTATGCTTTTCGGGGGTTTCACTTTCCTGTAGTGCATTATATAGGTTTTTGTGCATGCTAAGGCTCAAATCTTAAAGTTCACGCCAGAGAACGTTTCTATATACAGCTCTGGAAACAATTGAGACACTCTACATGTGTGGCAGCCATTCCATTCCGGTGTCTGTTGAATTCCAACACAGAGAAATGCTGTCAGTAGTTTATAGAATAAAATAATGAAAAATTAATTTGACTCAAACACATACCTATGAATAGTAAAACCAGAGAAATGATATGGCCCCTTTATTTATCTAATGGCGCATTTCCACTGCAGGGCCTCGCACGGCTTAGTACGGTACAGTTAGGCCTTGGTAGGCCAGGCTCACTTTTTGGCACGGCACGCTTAAACCGTGCTACGTGCTGCAGTGGAAATGCACCATATGACTCTTTTCAGACCCTGACCAAGTTTTTATAAAATAAAAAATGTTAAACACACATAAAACTGTGACTCCACGTCTGTTTGTGAAGAGTTGGACATGAGAACATGCGTTAAGTGACACAGGAAATATTGCCAAAGGTGGCGTGATATTATTAAGTCTTCCATGGGTTCGACACCTGAATGCAAAGCACATTCTGTCACACTCTTCTTCAAGCAAATAAAACCAATAACCTTAAGCTTACTAAAAATGTATTTGACTCAAGGATTAAGCGGATTATACTGCCTGTTTTTTCATTTGTCTGTAATCAAATGCCCAATATGTTTTTCTGAGACAGAAGTTACCCAAGGTGAACAAGGAGCTGGCTCTCAAGCTGATGGAGGAGGGTGATGACGAAGCAGAGCTGACTAATAGGAAAAAGAAGGGCAAGGTAGGAGGACATATATTTCAACATATCACCATGAGCACTTCCCAAGTCTTTGAATGTATTTACTCTTAATATACTGTATGCAAGAGAAAAAACACCAACTCTAATCTCTTCCCCCTCCCCATGTCAACTATCGAACTTGCAGGCTCTCCCCAGCGTCCTGGGAGACGACCGCTTCAAGGTGATGTTCGAGAACCCCGAGTACCAGGTGGACGAGCGGAGCGAAGAGTTCCGCCTCCTCAACCCCATCGTCTCCAAGGTGGGACAGAAGAGGAAGAAGAAGCTGCGTCTGATGGCTCAGCAGGCCGCCGACGCCCAACAGGTAACGCTGAACCTGGCTCTCACTCACATTTCTTGCACCGGTAGGAAAACATACAGCTACTGCAGCAGAGTGGGGCAATGTGGTTTCCACCAGGGAAGGTATTGTTGCTTGGTCTTGTGATTCTTAGGTGATGTAGAAAATCTAGCTGCCTTGCAAGGTATCGTGTAGGAATAGTGAAATTATTGAAAAGGACGAGGGAGAACTGTTGCACCTTATTTTGATAGTGTTTTGTCAGTTTTTGAACCGACAGATAAGCAAATCCTGCTGGAAAAGTCAAGTTCTTTTTGTTTTGCTATACTCTAAAATACGCATGTGAGTTTTTTGTTGCGCTAACTATAGTCAGGCACGTATTTCTTTGTTAACCTTTTGAAATTGTTCTCAGGAACATTGAAACTTCCATTTAAAAAATAATTCTTAAAATAAAAGGGGATAACAGCAGGGTATGGTTATTTCAACCCATTTCTTAATTTAATTTACAGACTGAATAAGGTATTGTTATACCGTTACCATGATAGAAGAATTTCGCCATATCAACCACACATAGTCTCCAGACATTTAGAGTACAATTTCTTGTCTTTGACCATGTTATATACTTATATATAACATTGAATATTGCCCAGCCCTAATTTACAAATGCAAGTGTCTGAGCGTAGGACATCCGGCTTTCTAAGTTTGGAGCTGCTCCCACATGAGGGGAAGTAGGGATATTAATTGGTTCTTGCCAGAAGGGCGCGTAATAAATATATAAAAATAAATACCATGTACTGGATTAAAATATTAGATATTATCTTGCGGCACTCCTCAATCCCCCAAGACACAGTCATCTGTTTTTCTCTTGTTTGCAATCACAAACTGTATATTTAGAAATGGTATCAGAAGAGGCTTCAGGCGTATTTTGGTGCCAAAAAATAATATCACATGAATGGCTTTCTCCATCCAGGCGGGTGAGGACGACGAGGAGCCCGAGGGTCGGGCCAGCTCCGAGGAGGAGAGCTCCGACGACGACGACAAGAGCTGGGTGGCGGAGGTGCGGGAGCAGCGGAGGTTGCTCTGGGAGGAGGGCCGGGACCGCCGGCGGCTGGAGAGGAAGGAAGCGGACCGTAACACTGTGCTGCAGAAGGAGCAAAACGGAGGAGAGGAAACATCCAACACGGCCGAGAGCAAGAAGGCACGCCAGCCTCAGTATTATCAGATCAAAGCCGGGGAGGAGTTCAGAAGCTTTAACGACATGGCCCGCAAGCAGAAACTACAGAAGTATGTGGAAATGTATCAAATGGGAAGTGTTGGAGGCTTATTGTGCAGGACATTTTTGAAACCCAGACTAGTATTCAGGCTCTTGCTTCAGGGTTTTCAGCTGTTTATAATGAGGGATAACCTTACCTGTCCAGTTGTCAATTAATTAGAATATTAATTATAACAAATAAAACGGTGCTCGAGTTTGGTGTGGAATTGATAACTTGTACCCTGACTGCGCTGTGATACTGTTTGGTGCATCGTTTCTGAGGAATTTATGTTTTTCTGCCAGGGCTTCTTTGGAGGACCGCCTGAAGTTAGAGGAGCACTCTGGAACGGGCACTATGGCCGACACAGCAGTAGGCAGCAAGCAGCTGACCTTCAGTCTCAAAAAGGTAAACCAACCTGGTGCACCATCCTCCGTCTGTCCTGTAACTCGCTCCCGTCACTCTGTTCAACTTCTTCAATGCAACCAATTGTCTAAGGTGGAGAGGATGCATTGGCCTGAAGAAGTTTAAACTTCATACAGTCACTCAAAAAACATTCTTTCCAGCGCTTGCATACTGTAGACAGTCATGGTAGAATTTTTGGTTAAACAAAAGGCGTTTCACATAAAGCCAGCTTCACTTACCACTAACATGCTTAAAACTGTTTGAAAATGATAAACTAAGAGAAATGTTGTCGTAACCCAAACAAGAACTAAATATGAACAACCGCTAAATATAAGAGAGCATAATAATTTAAAATAATCACAGGCTGTGTGAAAATAGTAAGTTATATACAATAAGGTATAAGATATAACATTTGCACAATAACGCTAGATCTTTGTTAAATATTTTTTTATGTGAACTTATATCAGCCAACATTATTAATAATAAAAAAAAAATCTCTTTTATTCAAGGTAACAGTCCATTTGTTCTTTGGTCTTCTGTAATGACGTTTCCTCTCTGTGCATACGTTCGAGTTACCAAAAGTCTGCCAGAAGCTATGATAATATTTTTAGCCACATTTTTACAATACACCGTTACATCTTGTTGTTACTACTACTTATTTTAACCGAATAAAGGATTTTAGTCATCGGATGGCTGGGTTGTCAGAAAAAGTTATCAGAGAAACAAGCTGAGCAAGTTTTGCTTATGCTTTTGTGTATTTAACCGAGTTGACATTAAAATATAACCTGGAAATGAGCAATGGTTCACTCTGCTCTGTCCCCAAAGTATAAATGTACAATTTGTTCACTCCATGAAGGCACAGGTGGTGGAAATACACAGCAGGATACTTTTATTTATTTAACGTGCCTTTTCCTTTTCTCATTTGCAGTCAGATCAGCAGAGGAAGCAGCAGCAGGCAGAGAGGGATCACCACGAGGAGAGGAGGAAGCTGAGGCGCTCGGCCGGACACCTAAGCAGCGACCGCGGCAGAGGCTGGGGGGGTGGTAGAGAGAGAGAGGGAAAGAGGTGAGAGAGAGAAAGGAGAGAAGAGGAGAGAGAGTGTGAGANCTGTGTGCACCATGTCAACAGAGATATCGTTAGAAAGCTGTGTCTCTCCTGCACAATCTCATCGGATCCAAATATGGTCATTTCCTTTGTATCAGCAACGGTTGCTGATACAAAGGAAATGACCATATTTGGATCCGATGAGATTGTGCAGGAGAGACACAGCTTTCTAACGATATCTCTGTTGACATGGTGCACACAGCGGTCGCGGTACTTTATGTTACGTTAGAAAGCTAACTTTTGGTGAATTTAGGAGAAATCTACTGACGCAAATAGACAAACTATAGTCAAATAAACACTTAAATGTGTATTTTGTACGTTTTCCTTCCAAAAGCCTGAAAGAAAACATGTTATAGAATCAAAATAGCACAAAATCTCAAAATTGACCAGTGCTTGAAAAACGATGTTTTTGCCTGCCGTGTAAGGAAAACAAAAAAAACTTTTGGGAGATTTTTTTTTTCTTTCTGGTTGTACAGTATGAGTAAATGCATTGCCTCATATCTTTCCTCCAGGTATGAATGGGAGCAGTCGCACGCCCAGGTGATTGTTAGAAAGCATTCTGATAGCTTAAAAGCCTGCCGCATGTGAGAACCTGTAGAGTGTCACAGAGAATGCTGACTTATTGCTCTTCCCTAAGATCTCCTGTCAGTGAGTTCTGCGCCGGCTGCCTCCAGGTTACATAACAGGGCCACATCACACAGTTTCTGTAAATCAACACTGCTGCTCGCCTCCCTGCCCCCTCATCTCCTTTTATTCCACAGCAGCCAACCACCTTTCTCCTTCTTGTCATTTGATCTCTTTACTGCTGAGCCTGCATTCCAATGTTCATTCAACCCTTTCAGTATCTCCCCCGACCCTCCTTCCTCCCATCCCCACACACTTCTTAACCTCTCAATCTCTCTTTAGGCCTATAGTTAGGTAGACGGGCCGACTGTGGAAACCTAAGGTGGTAGATTGATTTATAGCTTTTGCGTTTGACTTTGAGGGCCCTTTTTATGCAGGAATCTGTTTATATTTTTACCCTCTTTTAAAATACAAAAGGAAAAGTTAAAGGAACCAATTGGGGTTGCTTGGTCTCGGAACGTTGGGAATTAGGTGCACAACTTTGAGTTTTGTTTCCACAAGCAGTGAGCTTTTCAGGAGAAATTAAGGCAGCAAGGTCTCACCAAGATTTTCCAGGTCCTTCCTGGTCACAAACTTGTAGTCATCGTACACTGTGCTCTCCGGACTCTCCTCCAGCTCCTCTGTCAAGTTGTCCAGGAAGGAGCACCACCGAGGTGCAGGGCCAAGCGCCTAAACACACACACACACACACACACACACACACACACACACACACACACACACACACACACTTGAGTAAGTACGAAACCTGTTGTGTATTTGTTGAAACAGAAATAGACTCACTGTACAAGCTCTGGTTTCCATTCCAGTTAGGTATTACAGAGCTATTTTCAAAGAAGCTTGGAATTGTGCTGACGTGACCCGAAACTAATAGAGCAAAAGCACTGGCACAGCAGAGTGTCACTCAGGCCGAGCAAATCAAGAAGGAACTCCATTTCAGAATCAGAATATCTTTATTAGTCCCACAGAAGGGAAATTTGCAATTTGTAAGAACTTCAATACAATTGATACCACAAGTAAATTTGTTTAAAATTGTTAGACCTTTAAATAAAACCTACATGCATTGTTTGCATACGTTAAGGTTAGAATATTATACGCACCATCCACCTGTCTTTGGGTGTAAATTTAATTTATTTGTGGGCTTTAAATTCCCTGGGCTAAAAAAAAAAGGCATGACAGTGTCTGCATGTGCATTCCTGTCTGCAGCTGCATTTGATTTATTAAACCTTAACATGTAGCTATGATATGCTTTTTATTATGTTAAAAGAAAATAACGGTAAATGTGTTTGCTTGTTATCAGCTATTAAATGGCTACGGATGATTTGTTATGATCCAAGAAAGATAGGTTACACTTTGATTTTAGTTTAATCTAATTTGTTCTCTAATGAAGCCTGGAGGTTGTGTAGCATTATTTGATACATATATCATCAGTGATGCAAACACAGGTATGGTGAAAAAAGAGAGAACTATTCGAAGCAGAAAAAAACAGTGTAATATACCATCTGACAAAGGCCTGTGCTATAATGCTTCAATTAACTGGCTATTCTTTATAATTTACTCAGATAAATAGGAGACAGAGATGTTAAGTTATAAATCAAGGTTTTTTATTATTATTTACAGCAGGGGTGGGGAACCTTTTTCCTTTCAATTTTTACAACATCCTCCGAGGTCCGTACAAATTATTGAACTCAACCTCTGCTTAAAAAAACTAAAATCACAGCCAACTCATTTGGCCTTTCTTTCATGTTGTGCAAAGAAAAAGCAACTTCTTAATCCAGATATTTTACCATGACTCGCGCATGGTAAAATATGCATGCATGCATGTGCACGGTGTGACATGACCACCAAAACAGAAAGATATGGACACAAGATGTGTGCAAATGACATGATTTAAGTGGGGGGGACCTAACCTTCTCTAGGTGGGTCCGGGAAGATTTTTTTTTTAAATATTGAAGTTAAAAGCATCAATCTGGTGCACTTTGAGAGCAACATGAGGAGATCTATGGATACATCTTTCAACACCCATTTGAAACAGAACTGTAAGCAGATTTTTCTTTTGGGATATTTTACAAATCACTCCCCTTTTAAACTCTATTCTTGTTATTTTTAACACATTTTTTGTTACTGTCATATAGTATTTTATACCAGTTTTTCATTTAGTCTCTAATGTCTCATTAATAACTATAATGATCATATCAAGGTGTGCCTTAACCTCACTGAGCTGAGGTTATTTGAGCCTCTCAGGAGAGAGCTCTCTTCCACCTGGTTGTAGAAAAGCTCTTTAAATTCGTTAGCATAGCTAGCTAACCAGATGCTAATAACAACAGATCGCCACTGTGCTTACAACTAAAGACACAGCCACGCAAACACTGCGGCATGTGTACGCTGTACGGCTCCTTATGGGTACTGCAATATTTGAAGAGCTGGAGCTGCGTTCCGGTGCTCTCCGTAAGCACTCTAGTCGATTGCGATCTAGATTTCTTCTTCTTTTTTGAAGTGAGAAGTTGTCCGTCAGTCGGACGGACTAACGGACANATATGCTTTATTTCTCAGAGAATGCAGTAATATGCTGTATCTTGCCCAAGCCAAACGGCCTATTCCACATATTGTTAACAGCATTTCCTAATTGATAAAGGATTTTGAAACATTTGATTTTTGAAGGTTTATAAGGTTATGTTGAAACTAGAGCTGGGTGACATTCTCTAAAAATATTATCACAGTACATGATATGGCGATATTTTATAATCCCTTTCCATACCTATCACACCAGTAAGAGGGTTTTTATATTAAAGTGGACCGATCAGGCTATATTTGAATAATATAGTCTAGGACCATACTTATATGAAGGCATATTTATACTTTTTATTTTTCAAAATACCAAACAGATCATGCATTTTAGCCATTCCTCATTTCGCTCAATTTAACACTGTCTTTTCATGGGCTGATTCTGTGAGAACAGCACCATCTACAGGCCTGGCATATGTACTACAGCGTCTCCAGCGCCTTCGAACGGCAATGTCCGTGGCTGTCTCCTCCTGATTGGTGGAGTTGGCCCAATAACCGTAGCGCCACTTCTGTGACGTCACAGAAGTGTTCAAATCTGGATCAGTCTGTTTCAGATCCGTTGCAGCCCCTTTTTAAGAGATTTGGGTATGGAGGAAAATAGAGAGGGTTGTGTTTCTGACACTTGGTGAGTTCCCTGGAACACCGGAGACACATATTCATGTATAAAAGACGTACAAAAGTGCATTTTGCATGATAGGTCACCTTTAAGACATTTAGAGCTATTCATGAATCATGATACCCCTGCCTAACCTTACCACTCCTATGCATCTGTATCAAATATAAGAATTATAGAATAGTTACATTTAACTGGAATTAATTTACGTCTTACAATATCAAGTTATCATACACACATCTTTTTAAATATCCGGATTGGGATTCATGTTGAATCATACGCGTGGACCAGAGGGTGTGTGCAAGCAACTAGGGCTGCTCAATTAATCGTATTTTAATCGCAATTACGATTTTGGCTTGCAACGATTATGAAAACAACATCGAAATCAAACAATTACTTATTTTATTTTATTTTTTATTATTGGTTTTTCAGTTGAATTATACTTAAAGTTCAGGGTAATCAACTGTTAAAAACATACTGTTCACATTTTCTTTTCAATAAATGGATGTTTTCAAAGTAAATGGATAATTGTTTTTAATAATTGTGATATCAATTATTGACCCAAATAATCGAGATTATGAGTTTTGCCATAATCGAGCAGCCCTACAAGCAACCATAGGTTTCACTTTACTTTTTTATTTAAATTCCAACCTTAGTAAAGAAAAAAATATTTTACACTGTTGTTTTACGTTTATAAAGCCCGGAAGTCCTAATGAATTCTCCTATCATCTTTCTTTGATAACTCGGTGGTGAGAGCTGGTTTTAATTCTGGATCTCAAATAAACCTTTTTTTTTTTTTTTTAAACCCTCTTCAATGCTGGCTGAAGTCTGGCTGTAAGTTCAGATAACGCTTGATTCGATATGCAGCAGCGTTTCCGTGAGTGGAGCATGCATTTCCAACACATTTATATAAATAGCCTAATTGAACTTGAGTTTGTGTAACGTTTACCTGAACTTTTTCTGTCTGTGTGTCTCATGCCAGCAGCTTAAAAAAATGACAGGACAATTTATACTCGATTGTTCGCGATATAGTAATTTCATACATCGTACGTAGAAAAGGCCGCGATACATTTAGTTTACTCAATATATCGCCCAGCCCTTGATGAAACCAAATGACCAGTTCAACAAATAACTATAAAGACAGTATTGTATAGAACTGTGGCAAACTGAATTTGTAACCCAAAGCCACAAAGAGACATGTGCTTAAACGCAGAGGGTGTAAACAGGTATAATCAGACATACAATACAATTAAAGCAATCAGCCATATTCCCAAAAATACAAGCATGGGCCTGAAGAGGATTCCTGTGACCCTTTTAATGCAGGATATCATGTGCATAAATGCAGAATGACCATGTCCATCATTCCTGGAATGAACCCATTTACACAAAGCAAACTGTAGTGTACTGTAAACACACACCTACTTTATAATAACCTCGCTGTCAGATCATATCAGAGTCACAGGATGGTCTGTTGACAACAACGGGCTTCAGCAGCTTTACTCGTGATATTGCGTCCTTGTGAGCACCACAATCTCGAGTGTGAAAACAAACTGCCAACAATCTATTGCTTAATTCCGGCACACATGTCCTTTTTACACACCTGAATAAGCTTAATACAAACAGTCCTGTTCTGCTTAGAGCAATTATTGTTGCACAATTGGGTATTTGTATGAAAAACCAACAGTATGTGAGTGTGACCTGCGTGCTGTTAAGTAAACAGTGCAGATGCCTCTTGACTCACCGGCATGTAGAATGTGTTCATCTTGGGATCCTCATTGGCAGTGAAGAGCATACCTGACGAGGGGACACAGGATGCAGGCAAAACAATGTGAGGATGTGGGAAGATATTAATAGAGTGCCATCTGTGGTGTAAACACTGAATTTAGTTCCGCTCGGGAATATTTGAAGGTCCAATAACACTCGGAATGTCCCATTAGCCTTGGGATGCTACTGGTATGCCGAGTAGTAAATGGGACTTTTATCTGCATATCCTGAGGGCAGAATGACTTTGTGCAAATCTTGCCTACCATAAAACTGTTAAACCTGTTAGGCAGCTGAAAGGAAAAATATATAAGAATTTGTGTGAAATAAAATGTAGGAAGGGGTCTTTAGCTCTCTGCTTTTTAACAGTTTGTATAATGAAACCTCATGAAAACAATATAAAAAAACACATTTATGATTTCAATGACGGACAAAACTCCCAACAGTATGAACTTTACTGGAAGATGGCGCCCCCTGGAGGTGAAAGACTGATTCTATTCCTCCTGACCACTCATTTATAAAAGGGGCCATATCAGCCCGAAAAAAAACTTATAAGTCCAGGGCTCGACATTAAGGGCTGCCCGATGGCCCGGGGCCATCTAGTATTTAGCTCGGGCAATGAAGCCTCACCTGCTGGTTGCCCGATCGGGCAATCTGTTATGCTAGTATCATGCAGCTCGCGGATCCAGTAATGAGTGACCCGACAGTAAAACTAAACATATCTATAACTAGTTTAGGTAGTTTGAGAGGTGATTAAAATAGCTACGTGTGATATTCTAACCTGAAGTGTGTGTTTTGTCCGCTCACCGCTGCATGTGATCATGCAGAGCTGCGTGTCGACTCGTCAGCAGCAGCTGATCTCTCTCTCCCGTCAGATTAGACTTCACTCGCGTTTATGTCCATATCGATCAGATCCAGCTAGTTCTAGCTAATGATATGACTACCTGCTTATTAAAAGACACCGTGACCTAAACAATAAGTGTCGCTATGCAACCGGGTGAGGCCACAAAGTATAGCGCAGCATTATGCATTTGTTTACATGCCTACCGGAACCCCGAGGCATTACCAACAGATCAACGCACAATCAACCCATACAGGACATCTCTTTCTCCACATTAAGTGTTAGACATTAGAATTGACTATTCTTTTCTGTCACATACTCTTCTTGTCTGTCACATAAGTGGCGCAACTGAAGCGGTATTGCGCTAAAGGGAAATTATTTTGACCGAAGAGATTTAGATTTGCCGGCTAAAGGGAACTCTGACGTCGCCATTTTGTGTGCTTCGCGGATGCGCTCGGCTCCTCTCAGCTGCTGCTCGGGTCTGCTCGGTCAGCTTCCGGATGAGGAGGCATTCGTTCGACCAACTTACAGTAGATAACATTACAAACATTTTTAACAGGCACCATAATAGTGTAAATAATGTTTGTTTTGGCAGTTACAACTGAATGTAATATTTTCTACTTTTTTGCATCTGGGAAGGCCTTTGCCTTTTTTAGGGGGAGGCTCCCCAAAC